GCCCCTCTCTTATCGTGCCTGCCTCAGTCTTTAGGCCTGGTCTGAGGCTGAACGTCCCCCACTAGAGGAGATTTGACTGGGTGTGTCCATTGGTTGTGTTAACCAGTGGGGCGTAAACCCATCCAGCTGCGCTTTATTCCAATAGCAGCTAGCTTAAGGGCTAAGACTAGACGAAATAGAACGTTGGTTACGTATTGTAACCCCAGATTCTATGAGTCTAGTCGCAGCCCTTAAGCCACTGGCCCCACTGGTTATGATGGGAAAAAGAGCCATTGGAGGTGAGCAGTGGGGTCACTGCGGTTATATACCATGAGGGGGCCCACTATTGGTGGGCGTACATTTAAGCTCTTCATGATTGGCTGATGCGGAGATCATCCTTCCAATAGCAGCTAGCTTAAGGGCTGCGACTAGACTCATAGAATCTGGGGTTACAATACGTAACCAACATTTTATTTTCCATTTTCTTCAGAAAAGCCACCCTTTGCTCTGATTACTGCTTTGCACGCTCTTGGCATTCTCTTGATGAGGTTCTAGAGGCAGTCACCTGAAATGGGTTTCCAGCCATCTTGAAGGACCCTCCTCCCAACCCCAGAGATGCAGGTGTCTGGTTTGAACAGGTGAGCATCACAGTAAATCAGAGTGGAGCAAACTGAGCTTGAAATATTGTGGGTTTTATGCACTTTTTCTGCTCCAAAGCATGAAAGTTAATAGGTGAGATTTTACATTTTCATTTAAGAGAATTATTGTTTTTTATTTTTGTTGTTGGCCTCTGAAGAAAGATTTAACCCACTTTAAAATAGGAACTGGAAAGATTACAGTGTGTGTGTGTTCTGATCATGTATGTGTGTGTTCTGAGTGTGCGAGTGTTCTGACCATGTATGTGTGTGTGTGTGTTCTGCAGAACAGGCTCCCAAGGCCTGTTCTGACAGGATGGACGTTACGGGACCCTTAAGGATTCCAGTTGGATGATTGGAGGATTATTTAGGAGGATTGGAATGAACAAACTGATTTCAGTGGTGAAGGGTTAAATGAGTGAGTGAACCCACCACCAAGGATGAACTCTGCTAACTTTAAAAATCAGCTGCTCTAAATAAGCATGAAGGTCAGAGAGGAGCTCTAGGATGGACATGGATAAAGGAACTGTAATGTAGAGGTAAAGTAGGGCAGGGCCAACGTTAACAGCTGTCATACGGTCCATCTGAAATGTTTGACTGCATTTAGCTTGTTATGTGACAGGTTAGAGCACAGTCTCATGTTAGTTTTGTCATGAGAACATTGAGATAGCTCACATACTGATGGCATATAAAAAATTATTTTTTCTGAAAATAAAGAATAATTTTAATCACAATTGAAACTTACCATCCTAGAAAAACCTCGTCCAATCAATGTGCACGTCCTGTTCTCACTGATTGGATAGAAATCCCTCCTTCAAGCCTTGCGGGTTTGAGTGTGTTGGTGTGTGTGTGTGTGTGCACGCGCACACACGAGTGAATTGTGAGCTGGCGTTGTGATTTAGCACTACTTAGATGTAGCCATCCTTACGCTGACAAAAATGTAACTAAGTAACTTTTACTTTGAGTACATTTTGTTTACGATACTTTTTACTTTTACTTGAGTAAAAATTTAGGCAAGTACTTTTACTTGTAATTGAGTAAAAAATTATCAAAGTATTGGTACTCATACTTAAGTAGGATATTTTAGTACTCTTTCCACCTCTGTCAACAATGACATTGTTAACAGGAGTGTCACTTACTTTTTGGGTGTAGATAAGGAAGCCATTCAGAAGGGAAAAGAAACAAAAAAAAATATTATTAGAATATGAGTCTTTTACAAACAAAATAAACAACAACTAACCTGTATGGAGCGCCACTCAAAGTCCATAAGATTTTTTATCAGGGTAGAAATGTACGCATTCACTGTCTGCAGTTTCTTTTGGACGGCCTTACCTGTCTTTGTGGACACCACCTTTCCTTGGTAGGATTTTGTGCCTCTCTCTGGGTTAATCCCAATGGAAACATACTTCCAATATGAGAAAAACTTGCAGACTACAGTGTGTCACTCTCAAAGCAGCAAGTGCTTGTAACAATAAAGGAGTTCTTAAGCAGTACATCCTGAAATTACTCACACTACATAACTTTCTCCACTTTTAGCTTTGTTCCAGCCTTTTTTCAAAATGGATTAAACTTTTTTCCCCAAAAATTCAATAAAAATCATCCTATAATGGCAACAAAAGTTTATTTTTTTTAGTTTGCAAACTTATTATGAATAAAAATAACTTAGAAATCCAATTTACACAAGTATTCACAGCCTTTGCTCAATAATTTGTTGATGGTTCTTCTACAATTTTTTTGAGTTTTTGATTGTTTTATGCTCTGACATACTGTCAAGGATCGTCATGTCCAATCAACTGAATTTACCACAGGATGTCTCCCGTTGAAGGAACACTTGGCAGTTTAGGCTTGTTTTAGCACCCCCTATTGTCCGTTAGTGAACCCAACAGTAAAACTTATCTCCTCGCTGTGCGTTCATATTTTTATTTTAACACCTTAATCTAACAGCTGAAATGTCTTTTCATTAGTGTCTACAGGAGTGATTCATCACTAAATAAAACGAATCAGCTGTGTTCATGATCTAAAACAGGCAAGAAGCTGGAAGCAGACTGCAGCGCCAGGTATGTCAGCTCCTTTTTCTAAGTCCAGCGGGGAGTGGCCCAACACTCTAAAGTTGCAAGTGCAGTATTTTGGCCACAGAGGGCGATGCATTAACCCTGTAAAGGGTCATTTTAGCACATACTGGGTCAAGAAAATGATTTAAAAATATGAAAAATTGGCAAAGTAAGGCTTTAAACTTCAGGAACATCTGAAGGAGGATCAGTGGAAACAGGATGCAACTAGGCAACATTTAGAGCTTGATGGCAAAGGCTGTGAATATTAATGTACACGTTAACAGGCAGCGTCACGTGCGTCTTCACCGTTTGTGAGATCATCATACAGGTGACTCCATTTCTTTTACAAACCTTAAGGAATCACGTGGTAATCTCAGATTGTTTCATGGATTTTTTTTACCTTAAACAACGGAATGACTGCTGGTTCCATGTACACGTTACTATAGAGCATTATTACCTTGTAGATTATTAAAATAAACTAAATTAATTTAGCTTTTTTATTAGATCTTATAACTTCCTCATGAGCATAAAGTGGGTGTAAAAATTAAAGCGGGTTGTTAAGGTTAATAAAATGTGCATTTGTTTATTCAACATAAGCCTGACAAAGCAGGTATGAAAATGTCAGTTATTGTTATTTTAATTATTCTGATTTTCCCCGCCGGATCACGACAGTTGTTAACAAGTCCCTTTGTCAGACATTTGTTTACTGAACTGTTACATGTAGAGTTTACTACTGATAGCCTCAAACAGGCCCGAAGTGGCTAATCGGGGTCTGGACCGCAAGGCCTGAGCCGCAGTAACATTCTCAAAGTGTCGCCACCTCAAAATCAAATTAACACGCGATCGATCGTTCATGTCGGCTCATATCCTTTCATGCTTTCTGTCTTTTATTTGTGCCTGATGTGTTTTGCTGCTGCGGAGCGGAGCGAATCACCTGTTTTGTCCTCCGGTGACGCAACTCACCGGTGCAGCACACACTTTGCTATATTTGCAGTTGGTAGATCTTTTTAACTGCAGTTCAAAGGTAACTTATAAGGTGAATATATATGAAGCCATGTAGCAGTTTTTCTTTAGGATTGAGAGGAGATGCAGGAAGATAATAAACAAAGACAAACAGAGACAGGACAGAAAAATAGTCAAATAAAAAGTTTGTTTTTTTTACCTGGTGGCTGAAACAAACACTCCACTGAAAATAGTCAGAAATGAGGAGCAGAAAATGAAATTATTCTTTCAATGTTTAGAGCAGCAGGAACTCAGAGGCTGCAGGCGCATCAGTGAGTTTGCGGCCGCTAAGCAGGGGAACAGTAAAGATGCAAAAACTACCGTTGTTGAAAGAAATGTGTGCTAACCGTATTAACTTTGAAAATGTGGGCTTAATTTTTAACCGTCAAAAACTCCAGCAAATCAATCGGAACGATGCCCACTTAGCACTAAGGGGCCTAAAGTGTGCCAAGAAAACATCCCCCACACCATGACACCACCACCAGCAGCCTGCACAGTGAGGCATGATGGATCCATGTTCTCATTCTGTTTACGCCAAATTCTGACTCTACCATTTGAATGTCTCAACAGAAATGGAGACTCGTCAGACCAGGCAACATTTTTCTAGTCTTCAACTGTCCAACTTTGGTGAGCTTGTGCAAATTGTAGCCTCTTTTTCCTATTTGTAGTAGAGATGAGTGGTACCTGGTGGGGTTTTCTGCTGTTGTAGCCCATCCGCCTCAAGGTTGTGCATGTTGTGGCTTCACAAATGCTTTGCTGCATTCCTCGGTTGTAACGAGTGGTTATTTGAGTCAAAGTTGCTCTTCTATCAGCTTGAATCAGTCGGCCCATTCTCCTCTGACCTCTAGCATCAACAAGGCATTTTCGCCCACAGGAGTGGCATACTGGATGTTTTTCCCCTTTCACACCATTCTTTGTAGACCCTAGAAATGGAAAATTCCAGTACTCAGACCGGCCCGTCCGGCACCAACGACCATGCCACGCTCAAAATTGCTGAAATCACCTTTCTTTCCCATTCTGACATTCAGTTTGGAGTTCAGGAGATTGTCTTGACCAGGACCACACCCCTACATGCACTGAAGCAACGGTCATGTGATTGGTTGATTAGATAATTGCATTAAGGAGAAGCTGAACAGGTGTTCCTAATAATCCTAGGTGAGTGTATAATCATACATACTACTTTGGACCCATTTGGCTTTTACTGAAATGAAATAACTTTTGCATTATATTCTGTTCTTTTTCAACTTTCACCTGCACATCTCAGAAAAAACTAAAGAAATAAAAGTCAATTTTCTGTTATTTCAGCATTATAACACAAAAGACAAATGATACAAAAGTTTGCATACATTTTTATTCATCTTAGACTTTGTGTAGAAAAAAAAGAATGAGAAATAGACATTCTCTTTTCCTTCAGCCAATCACTTTTTCAGGTCCTCAGAATATACCAATAACAAGAAAAAATCTTACATGTACAAAAGAAAATCTACAATGAAACCTTCGTCCAACAGACCATTTCAACAGAAATGCGAGACTTGGAAGGCTATGAATAATTTACACATTTCAAAATATCAGTAACAAATCATCAATGTTACAAAAAAGGAGGGACGTAGGGGGCAGGAAGTAAAACAGAAATGTTTGATTTTATGTCGGCTTTGTGAGGTGTTCCAGTGGTAAAGAGACATTAAATGAGTCCAAAATCAGACCACAAACTCTGAAATCACCGCCCTGATGATGTGAGGATTTTGGCAAACCAGGGTCTAAACCAGAAGTCTCATTCAAATATGTTACAGGAAACTTGGAGACATGCTCCAGAGTCTGTTATGGTTTTCTAATGACCTAAAAAATATTCTGTCAACAAACAAATGAAGTAGTCATGGTAGAAAAAAACCCAAATATGAAATCTCAAACAAATTACATTCCACGTGTTTTCCCATGAAGCCGTTCATGATGAATCACGGTGACTAAAGACTATAATGGAACTGTGGAAGTGTGATCTCCGCTTTTTTTTCTCCTCTCAGCGATTCTGGAGCTAATGAGCCCCGTCTGCTGCAGCCAGAATGGTATGGTTGGTTTGTGGTTTGAGTTTGACCACATTAAACAGCACCCGGTGAGGTCATCACTACAGCCAGACAACAGGGGGGACGCGCGAGTCTGTACATTTAAATAGATGGGAGAAGAAAATAAAAGTGAGGTAGATGGATGGTTGAGGGAATAAGAACACAACCGTCTCCCAAAATAGAAATCATAAAAATATATATTAAAAAAGAAGACATTGGGACATTTGCACAGCGATTAAACACTTCACCAAAAACACACAAACATCAGGACACGGGGGAAAAAGCATCCCTTTTCAGAGATAAACTTTTCCAAGTTTTACTTCTGATCTGATGAGTTTCTTCAATAAACCTCTGACGCTTTACAAGTCACGCAGAACATTTAAACTCAACTGAGAATGTAGTCAAATGATTACAATTCGGTCCAGTTTAATGTCAGAAATCTGCAAACACGTCTGATTATGAAAATCTAACTTAATTGAACACATTACTCATCCTACGTAGAGAAATCCAGCCTCGACTCAAGAAAGCAGCTGATTCTAGGAAAGTGAGATTATCCAAAAGAAATATTTGTTTTTAAAAATGAAGAAATACAAGAATAAGGCTTACTGCTACATTAATTCATTTTGCATTAACTTTGCACAGGCCTTCAATCACACGAACCGACTGGACCATAAAACTGACAAAAAGTAGTTAAAACCAATCAGAGAATATCAAACAACTGTCTAACAGTGTAAGCTAAAATAAAACCAAAACACAACATCGCGTTAGCTTCCATCAGCACATTTTATGTTTACAGTCTCAGTGCGGGATCCGGCTCATTTGTCTGCTTTTTGCTGATATGGTTCAAACAGAATGCTGCCGTGTTTGTGTGCAGCTAGCTAGAACGCTTCTAGCTGCATGCAAACACAAAACACTCATGGTAACAGAAATAATACATGAAAACTCAATTTGGACCAATTTTCTGCAGTTGTAGACAAAACTAATTGAGTTAGCCTGTTAGCTTAACTTAGAGGTTCAGAGAAACTTTTAAAGGAATAGTTCAGATCTTTCCAAAGGTTACCACCTGTCATCTTACCTGGAGATCTCTTTGAATGTCCTCACTTTGTATAAACAGAGCCAACAGCTAATCTCAATGGGTAAACCATCATAACCATTTACACTAATACTCTTAAAATAGCAATAACTTTTTACTTTTCATTGATTTTCCATCTGGGTTATTATACAATTTATCAGCAAATTTAGGTCAAATGTAACGTAAACAATCACCTGATATGATGGTTGAGATTTGAAGACAAAACATTTTGTAACTGGCCCCACTCAGACTAGCTGTTAGCTCGTCAATCTGATCAAAATAATTTTCATTCCTCAAAATTGATATTGCTGAAAGAGAGCAGTCGACAACAGGTAAGATACTATCTGTTCACGTTTCACAGAAACACACTTCTAAGGACCTGACGTCAGCTCCTAACAGCTGACCTAGCTGTTCTACGACAGCAGAACAGGACATGTAGCAGTGGCAAAACTAACGATGAATCTTGTTAGCTGAAAGCAGACCAATACGGAAATGCTCACCTGCCAGTAGGGCAGAGAAAAATGTGCTCAAGTCACAGATGAGAAACTAACACATTTCAGAAATCTGAACTGTCTGATTTATCTTTTGAACTGGATGATTTCTACTTTTTGTCAGAATTGGGGCTCCATACAACAAGTGGAAGGACAAACCAAAAGCTGAGTGAGACCACAGCACTTCTAGATGTTTGTGCGAGTAAGCACCACTGTTGAGTGGTGATTTTTTTAGAGAATCATCTGTAATAATAATAAAACGCTATAACAAAGAGTTGTAGACAGACGTCAGTGCGCGTGCGCACACACACACACATTAGGCTGAAAGTCTCTGGGTAGAACAGCAGCACAAAACAAAAGAGGAACTAAAAAGGGCAGAAAAGAATCAAACTTTCCTCTTTGACCTGAGATTTATTCTGGACACCTGGCTTCTGACTCTGATGATGGATAGAGGCGCTCCCGTCCAAACCGCTGAGGACAGATGTCCTGAGAGAACACTGATGGTGACTTGGCGCCGTTGCCGTATTGTATCCGGATACGGGGAAGAAACCGGCGTTTCACACACACAAGGCGGAACTGCCATACCTTTTATGTAACCACGGAAACAAAACCAGCTCAGAAACACTTTTTACAACAAGAACCTTATAAAAAATGAACTGTAGTGGAAACGTTCCAAACTGAAACCAACCTGAAGGAGTCTCCTCTCTCTTTTTACTATATATAGACTATATTACAACCACAAGAGAAATGAGGAATAGCAGCTTCTTTCTGTACATGATGAAAGTCTTCGACTGTAGAAAAGTTAGAAAAGTGACACAAACAACTGGTGTGTACATAAAGGCTCTGTCCATGTAGGGATGGAACCGCTGGAGAGTATCGACGAGAGTAAAAAAATACCTGTTTGCTTTAAACATGGACGCCTCTGAAGAGGGGAAAAGTCAGAGACGAAAACGTCGTGTAGGTTTTCATTTTGAATCCGTCCTTTTTTCGATTTGTCTGAACTTGTCTCCGGTTGTGTTTTTGTCTGTTTCACCGTAGAACAGCACTTTGTGACTTGTGGCTCGATATCGGGTAAACAGACGGGACCGAGCAGAGAGGCTGGAGGCGTGAAACCCCAACCCACAGCTCTCTGATCACTAAGAGCGGTACGGCGGAAGATCAAAGTGCTTTTGTTTTGTTTTTGTTTCCACGATGACGGGGTGAAGGAAACCACAGAAACGTCATCGGGCAGAATCATTTTGGCAACAAATTTGGCAGAGCTGAGTTTTCTCCCTCTGGCTGTTGGACAGGCATCACGCCGTCAGCGTGACCTGCAGGGCGACAGGGATAACAACCCACTGAACACTTCTCTGAAGCTTCTTTATTCGATATGCTTAACATTTCCACCGTAATGCCCGTTCAAACGCAGATCACAAATAAAGGCATTCTGTTTCCTCATCTGGAAAGACGTATAAAAGTAACAAAAAACTATTTATAAAACAAGTTCAGCCATAAAGGGAGAATCAGCTCCCATTCAATCTTTTTTTTAATCTTTTTGTTTCTTTTACTGATTTTTTTCCCCTTTTTATCTTAATTTTGGTCTTCCACTCAGCAGCGGGGCAGTGTCGCATCCGACAGCCAGCTGGTAGAACGTGTGGTCCTACAGCAGAAAATAGACCCGTGGACCGTTTCCTCCACCTCTGAGTGTGAACATGCCTTTGCTGTTTTTGAACAAAAACAAAACAGACGCTGCCCACTGACACGTGTGATTCTTTGTCTTATCAGCAGGTTGAGGACTGAGGAAGAGGCATGGCTCGCTCATTTTTGCGTCCTCCGTTCATGTGTGCGTATGGTGGCAGTTCGTCCAGGGACGGCTGAATGGTGACGCCTGAGCCGGTGCCGAGCCCTGAGGCTGCTGAGAGGGACGCCCCCGAGAGCCCATTGGCTGCCTGCTGGCCCGAGGGCGGCTTGTCCAAAACAGCATTCGACGTACAAGGGGAGGAGGGGGAGCCGGGGGCTTGTGACGGGGCAGGTGGGGGCTCTGAGCTTGGGGAGGGGGGATTCTGCTGTGCACAGGAGGAGGGGTCCAGAGAAAAGTCCACTGGGTGGTCCAGGTGGAGCTGTGACGGTTCAGCAGGCTTGTTGTCGGCGCTGTAGAAGAAACTGACCTCTCTGAACGACGGCTCCAGCTCGTCCTTTAGGCTGCCGATGATCTCCACGAAGGACGGACGCATTTTAGGATTGTACTGCCAACACATTCTCATCAGCTCGAACCTGCAAACACACACACACACACCCACACACACACACACACACACACCCACACACACACACACACACACACACACACACACACACACACACACACACACACACACACACACACACACACACACACACACACACCCACACCCACACCCACACCCACACACACACACACACACACACACACACACACACGTTTTCTGTCACCAGACATAGTTTACAGTAACCCTAAACAAAAGAGGTTTCATCATCATTTAGCAGCCTAACCCTCCACCGACATAGATCAGTGTCTGTCGCTTCCTTAAAACGTGAACTCTGGATATGCTAAAGTTTACATGATCAGAAAATAGCTGCTAGAAGACGTGGTGCTTTTCAAGATGGAAGCTATTGGAGCAGACAACTTGTCTCGAACTCCAACAGTGACCAGGCAGGGGACGGGACAAGTTTCCAGTCCAGAGGGACCCAGACACAAACCATCAGTCCCACTTACTCACACCTAGGGACAATGTAGAGTCTCCCATCAATCTGACATGAGTGTTTTTGGTTTGTAACTGGCGTACCCAAAGAAACACGTTCTGCTGCTGTTTCTCGCCAGTATCAGCTGATGGAGGGCTCTAGTTTCGCTGCGCCGGGGAAGGGGGCGGGGCATGACACTTAGCCTGGCGGGCCGACAGGCTTATAAAGCGCTGGGGGAAACCCTGAGCCTTCTATTTGTATCCTACAGACCATTAGTGGTGTGCACTCTTAGGTACCCCACGATTCGATCTAGATTTGGGTCCTTTGATTTGATTATTAAACCATTATCATGGTTACCATGGTTACCACTATTTTTGATCCATTTAGTCATAGTTTAGTTTTCTCTCACAATAATTCTAGTTGAATATTGTTTACTCCGCTATATTATTCATGTTGGACTGAACATAGGTTTGCATGAAATCTACAGGATAAACGTGAATAACGACAATGGAAGTAAACACGTCAGTTTCGCTTTTATAAACAGAACCAGCTGAGAGTTGGGAAACTGGAGCGGTGCAGCGATGCGGAGCTAATGGTCTTTACATCACCTGACAGTTCACAGGGACTGAAGAACAAACACCTTTTGGAGCGGCTCGTAAAAGAAACTAAAGGAGCGTTGCTTCAATCGGCGTAAAAGGCAAGTTGTGTTGAAGCTAAAAGGAAGTCCGTGACGGCGTGGAGATGGCTCCTACACACTTCTCCACTAGTCTTTAGTGAAAACACCATCGCCCCACAGACTGTCCTCATACATGACCAAAGGCTCTCTCTCTGGTGCTTCCTCAGCTTTGCAGCAAAGTAACACCGTGGTTTTATGAAGAGGCTGGAGCTGCAGGAACGTTTTGTTAATCCCTCCTCGATTGCTGGCTGGTTAGGAGGCACCACCACCAGCTTCTTCTTCTCATCTAACCCAGAGTGGAAGACTGCTGTCTGATGTTGGTGCTGTTGTATTTTATCTTACTTTTACACAACTTTCCCTTAATTCTCCTGACGAGTAAATCTCGTGCTCAGTGGCTGAAGCTAATAAAAAAGATTTCGCCATTGTGGTTTTGTTTTTCCGATGGTCCGTCCCCCTAAAGTGTCCTGGTGGCACTCGTAACTTTTATGTTCCTACCACACTTCGCGGCTGTTTTTCGGCATTTAATTACAATCGTTTGTGAATCGATTTTGAGTCGGCGTGTGTCACATCACGCTGCATCGATTAAATGGTGAAGTGGCACGCCCCTACAGACCATAATATGCTCCTTCCTGCAGTTACAGTGAACGTTTTGGTACCGTGTCGAGGCAGCTGCCCAGTTTGCTGCCTGGTTTCTATGGTTACAGTATTCAGATGCACATACAGTCACAAGAACCTAAACACCCCGGGGCTTTTCCCGAGAGGTCAGAAGATTATTCAGGCCGTGGGTTTGTGCAAGGTAGATCAGGGGAATGGGGTCAGCTGATGTGACACACCACACACTCTCAAAGATCGCTAAAGGCCTCGCAGCTCAAAGGGGGCAAGGTGTCTGATCAGATAAGGGAAGCAGGACCAAAACCTGTCAGATTTGAGAAGCTTCGCTGAGTTTTTACATGAGCGACAGGAAGGAGGGAATAAAACCCAAGAATACGTTGTATTGATAATCCTAATCAGAAAAGATGCTCATGAACGGTGTTACTCCTAAAGAGGATAAACTCGCGTCACATTTGTTGTCCTTGTGAAATCAGACTAATGTTTGCTGACTGGTAGCCAGACCTGTCTGTCATGTTTACACGATCTGTGGATTTATTTGTGTGTGTGTGTGTGTGTGTGGGTGTGTGTGTGGTGTGTGTATGTCTTACAGCATGTCTGGACAGTTCTGTGGTTTCTCCAGCAGTCCACCCTCCATGACGAAGCGAAGGACTTGTTCGTTGGACAAGCCCTGGTAGGGCTGCTCTGCCAGAGTGGCTATTTCCCACAATACAACACCAAACGACCTTTATGGCGAGACACGGGGTGGGGGGGGGGGGGGTGGGAAGAGTGGTTTTCTTTACCATGACTGTAGCAGAACAAGAGTTTCTGGAAGCACAGAGGATGGGATAAGCACGTGTTCAGGCGAGTCAGCTCACCAGACGTCCGAGTTGGTGGTGAAGACGCCGTCCTTCAGAGACTCAGGGGACATCCAGCGGACAGGGAGCAGACCTTTACCACCTTTACGGTAGTAGTCTGTCTCATAGATGTCTCTTGTCATGCCGAAATCTGCACACATCCGTAAACAACGCATGAGTTTGATACGTTCATGTCTAAACGCGACAAAAACATGAATTAAGACAGATGTGGAGCCTAAAGTCCTCCAGATGTCTCAGTGCTCCTTGTTGTTTGGACCCATAAAGTCCAATAAAGTACTCTAGTGAGATTAAATTCCTGGAAACAGTATTGGATTACCCATAATTCCTCTTTAAAGCAAAAGGACTATTGAAGCAACCAGTAATGTCTGGAGGTTTGTAGCCTGTAACAGGTCACCCTGCCCTCACACTCACACTCACACACACTCACACTCACACACACACACACTCACACACGCACACGTAGACATCAGATCTTCCACACTGCTGAACCTTGATAGTGAATCCATCCCTGTACTCAGACCTAGCCAGCATACCTTGACCTCTCCGTGATCTCTGGCCATTTCTTTACCTCCTATCTTAACAGTGAAGTCCTCGGCCACCATGCAGTTCCTGGCAGCCAGATCTCGGTGGACAAACTTGTTAGCGTTAAGGTACGCCATGCCGTCGGCGATCTGCCCAGCCATCTGAAGCATCTTCTTCAGCGGAGGGAGAGACAGGCTGGAAAACTGTTGCTGCAGACAGACAAGTAAGATGAGCTCAACAGGAATGACCTGAGGCGGTACGAGGCTCTGGTTTGAAACGGTTACTTAAGGAGTAACTTAGGAAGGTAAGCACCGTGTAAGATGCTTTTGCTCAACTGGTCAGTTAGAGGATGTAAAGGTGCAGCAGTTGTAAGACAGGAATAAGTGTCTCTGTGACACGTGAGACGACTGAGCAGCAGGCAGTCACAGATTTCAGTTTTGCATAAAGAATATTTTGTAATAAAATAATTAGAATCACATGTTTGCTGGTTTAGTCCTAATTTTCATCATTGCCTGCGGAGAAACTGTGCCTTCCAGAAGATCTGATGCAGACCCCCTTAATTCTTATTTTTGTGCAGCTGTGTGACAGACTCTCAGTACCTCGTTAGGACGCAGCGAACGCAAGTAACTCTTCAGGTCTCCTCTGGTCATCAGCTCCATGATGACCAGGGTGGGCTGGCCCTGAGAGACCACTCCCAGGAGGCGAACCTGCCACACACAGACAGTGACATCACCACCGGTCCACCTACCCCACTGAGGACACCATCAGAGTCAGGCTACATACCACGTGGTGACAGTTAAACTCTTTCATCACCGACGCTTCATTCAGGAACTCAATCCTCTCCCTCATGCTGGCGGACTCGTTGACCGTCTTGATGGCGACGCTCGTCTCTGGCTCATCTTTGACCACGCCCTTAGCCAGGCCCTCATATACCATCCCAAACGAGCCCTGGCCAAGCTCCCGGCTCATGGTGATCTTCTCGCGGGGCACCTCCCACTCGTCTGGCACATACACTTCACAGATGATCGTTCAGAGTTAATACTCCCACCTGCAGAAATGTCGTCCGCCACAAACAGACTGGACTCACTTTCTGCTGCGCTGAAGTACTCTGGGTTGACCGAAGCATACAGCACTCCCTTTCCCAGCCGCCCGCTGTTCCTGTAAGAGAGAAATTTTAGTTTTATTAGTCACCTTAAGACCAAGCAGATGAATAAGTAAACTTGTTATTGAAATATTACAGTTTCTTAAATATTAAACAGCAGAATCGCAAAGTAAAGATGACGGGAACCATAAATATTATCCATGTTTAATTAGAGATAATCAGAGAAAGACATAACATAACAATTATGAACAAGTTGTTCAGAGCCTTATGTTGGAGATACAGACGTTAGTTGCTCGGTCTAAAGAACTAACATGTTTTTAAATACTCTGCATCTCTTTAACGGCACATGCTGATGAAATATGGGAGGGGCACACACCTTTTCTTGTTGAGCACCACCAAGACCGTGATCAGAGAGACGATCAGGAAGACGATGGCGATGGGGACAAAGATCGTAGCGTAGAAGACATTTTCATACCCTGTATACGTATAAAACAGTGATGCACAGATACAGACAGGAGCGATGGAGCTCGACAGTGTGTGTGTGTGTGTGTGTGTGTGTGTGTGTGAGAGAGACAGAAAGAGTCTTACGTTCAGCCACATAGAGATGCAGCGCGGGTGTCCAGGAACCGTTGCCAGCCAGCGACGTGGCTCTCACTCTGACGGAGTAGTTTCCTGGACTGAGGTTGGACAGCCGAACGCCACGCTGAGATCGATACACTTGTCCAGACACACACTCGTGCTTCTCGGTCTAACACACACACACACACACACACACATCATGGGTATGATTTGACGTTTTCTAGTTGAGGGTAAACATGGCTGACCCATAACCACAGATCAGGTTAATAGAGCTAACTGCACCTACTGAATAGAACGCTGTGATGTTCTAAAGAGGTTCCTGAGTTCTACACAAAGACAAAAAAACTTGAACTTATTTCAGCGTGAACCCCGAAGTTCTCCTACCTCAGCTGAAAGTTTGAACTTGATCTCGTACATGAGGATGAGCCCATTGGGGCGGGGGGGCTCGGGCCAGCGCAGGAACACCCAGTTCTCATGACCCTCCCAGACCACTGAACCAGGAATGTCATCAGCCTTTTCTGGACAACCAACAGGGGGATTCCAGTTACCAGACACATCCTCTCTTCAGCTGTTTTGAACTGTGTGATGCTGAGTACAAGTTTACTCTAACCTGCAGGTTTGGTTCTGGAGAAGACAAACTCAGCCGCGCTGCAGCGCTGGACCTGTCGATTGCAGGCGTGAATATCGATGCGGTAAACGGTGAAAGGCTGCAGGCCGGAGATCTGCAGCTCCCGTTCCGTCACCGACTGCTCCACAAACTCGTATTCCTGGTCGGCTGGCTCCGAGTCCACAGTGCTGCTGTTCCCAGCACCTTGGAGAGGTGGGATGGTGCTGCTGTTGGTGGACAGCTGGACACGCCGGGAACGAGTGGAGTTAGCCACGCCAAAAAGATCTCTGCGGCGCCGGTCTGGTGGTCTGGGGGAGCGAACGACAGACATAACCACAATATGAAGATTTGAAAACATTTCCAAAGTTGCGAAGCCCAGAGGAATTTACAGAAGCAGCAGATTACCTTGGTGTAAAAATGGAGTTGTGCAGGAAGTTCTCAAAGACTTTTCTATAGGAGGCATCAGAAGCTTCAGCCTCCAGCTCTTCCACCGATTTGGGGCAGGGGCAACAGGGGCCTTTATCCGGGCCGTCGGAGTCTGGTTTAGTGGGCTTGGTGTCTTCCTCCTGGTCCCCCACCCCTGTGGCAGCAATCCTAATGGGAATCTTTAGCTCTGGTAGAGGAAGACAAGGGTGAAGCCTAGCAGGTGAGACTGAATGGCTGAATGTACGTGTGTGTGTGTACCTTTAGAGCAGTAGTTGTGCTGGTACAGCTCCCGGCCCTCAGCTTGCTGTTGCCATCTCACCAAGTAATAAGTTTGGTTGCCATTAGGCGCGACGGGGGGCGACCAGCGCACCACCAGCTGAGTCGATGAGTTAGAGTACGCTCGCACGTCTTGAGGCATGGAGGGTGCTGAAAGTGAAAAATAAAACTCTATGAACTGTAGGGGAGTTCTGTGCCTGAGGCCTGGACACTCACACTCTCTCACACACTCACACACTCACACACACACACACACACACACACACACACACACACACACACACACACACACACACACACACACACACACACACACAATCTGCCAATGCAGCTGTGTCTCACTGGCCATGTTTTCATGCTGCAGCTGGATTTGTTTTACGCCGTCCTTCATTTCATCTGATTAAATTACTGTTCTGTAAGTCGTTGCAGCTCAAAGCCTTTGATTTGCAGCTGTGTTTATTTTAAAGAGCATTTCTCCCTGTCCCTATGATGTGTTTGATTCTGTAACACAATCACAGGCTGAGTCCTCCTAAACCTCAGCCCTTCATCAGAAGTCACCAGTGGTTAAAAGACTCTGATTCCGGGAACAGGGACAAACTCTTCAAGGAGGCGATTCCTCAGCCGCTGTACCTGATTCCTTCTAGGTAAACAGACATGATGGAGCCAATATGTCCGCCTAAGCCACGGAACTATTTAGCTGTAAACAGATTCATTGATGTATATGTTTAACCAAATGCATGTGCATAAAAAATTCTCGACTTATCCAGCTGGAACCCTCTGTGAGAACTGTAAGGAAGCGTCATCTCACGGCTGAAGTGGCTGCAGGTTTTCTTGAAAGTTTTTAGAAAGATCCCTCCCACTCCCGTAACTGCCTCTTGTGATTTTACTGTCAATGATTTTAACAGCAGACTGAAATCCGCTCTGGACCTGCTCGCTCCACTTAAAATCAAAAGTCTATGTTCAAAACGTGCTTCACCGTGGAGAAATGAAAATCTAAAGAAACTAAAGAGAAATTGCAGGGTTGCAGAGCGGAGATGGAGAAAGAACAAAACAACTATAAATCATCAAATATATACAGAGCTACTTAAATCATATAATAACGCAGTGAGAAATTCAAGAAATGCATACCTTTCCAAACTCATTCTAGACAATAAACACAATCCCAGAATACTTTTTTCCACCGTAAACAACATTTTAAACCGTACATCCAATTCACTTCAGAAAACCCACTCAGATGCTCTCTGTGAGGAGTTTGCAGCCCACTTCAGAGGGAAGGTAGACACCATCAGAAGGAATATTTTATCCTCCATAAGTAATAAGGTTTTAGATAAATCTGAATGTGTGTCTATACCAGAGGAAACACTGGACAGCTTTGTCCTGGTAGAAGCTGAGACTCTTGATAAAGTTTTCTCCTCAGTGAGACCCACCACATGTGTTCTGGACCCAATTCCAACTTCGTTCTTTAAACAATTTTATGGATCTTTTAGTGATGAGATTTTAACCCTGATGAATTGCTCCCTTCAGACGGGGGTCTTTCCTGCTGCCTTTAAAAGGGCGGTGGTGAGGCCCTTGTTGAAGAAGAGCAATTTAGATCTTAATGAATTAAATAATTATCGACCGGTATCCAGCTTACCATTTTTAAGCAAAATTTTAGAAAAGTCGGTTTTAAATCAACTAAATGATTTTATAAACACTAATAATGTCCTAGAGACATTTCAGTCTGGTTTTAGGGTGAACCACAGCACTGAAGATTTTAAATGATTTTAGAGTAAATTATGATAAACAGAAGTTGACAGTGTTGGTTCTACTGGATCTAAGTGCTGCCTTCGATACAGTAGACCACACTGTTCTTTTAACTCGTTTACAACAGATCGGCCTCTCTGGTGCTGTACATAGATGGTTCACATCCTACCTCACAGACAGGACTTTCATGGTGAGTTTGGATACCTGTTCCTCTCGGGTCCATGGGATTACATGTGGTGTGCCCCAGGGTTCAATTTTAGGCCCAGTGCTTTTTAATCTTTATATGCTCCCTCTTGGCGGAGTCATCAGGAGACACGGGGTTAACTTTCACAGTTATGCTGATGATACACAGTTGTACATCTCCGTGTCTCCGGATGGCTCTCGGTCAATGGACGCACTTTTTAACTGTATTTTAGACATCAAATCCTGGATGGCAGAGAACTTTCTCCAGCTCAACCAGGACAAAACTGAAGCTTTAGTCATTGGTCCTGAGGCCCAGAGAGAGAAGCTTTTACCGAAATTACAATCTCTGTCTTTAATCCTTCTGAACAAGCGAAGAACCTGGGTGTGATTTTTGACTCTGAGCTGACTTTTATCCCACACATTAAAAATATCATAAAAATAGTTTTTTATCATCTAAAGAACATCGCCAGAGTCTGCCCCATTCTCTCTCGGGCCAATACGGAGATGCTGATGCATGCTTTTATCACCAGTAGGATGGACTACTGCAATGCCCTCCTTTCTGGTCTTCCCAAAAAGAGCATCTCAGGCTTACAACCTCTACAAAATTCGGCAGCACGTGTCCTGATGAAGACCAGGAGGAGGGAGCATATTACACCAGTTTTAGAATCATTGCATTGGCTCCCTGTATGTTTCAGGATCCATTTTAAGGTTCTTTTAATGGTTTTTAAGTGTCTTAATGGTCTTGGGCCTTCTTATCTCTCAGAACTGCTTTTACAATATGAACCCTCACGGCCTCTGCGCTCCTCTGGCAGGCGTCTCCTGGTCATCCCTAAAGTCAGGACACACACTCACGGCGAGTCGTCCTTCCAGTATTATGGACCTCGCCTCTGGAACGAGCTGCCGGAGGACCTCAGGGCCGCAGAGAACGTTCATGTTTTTAAGTCCAGGCTCAAGATCCACCTATTTAGGTTAGCTTTTATCTAATTATTTATTATAGTTTTATTTCTCGTTTTACATGATTACATTTTATTACTTGCTTTGCATGTTTTATATGATTATATTTTAGCACAGTTTTATTATTTAAATTATTATTTTACTGTCTATATCATTTTATTTATTACTTATTTTCTAATTTTTGTCATTTATATTAGCTCTTTTATTTTATTTTTACTCATTTTACTCCAGTGTTTCCTCTGTGGGGGCCCTCTGCCCCGGGAGCGGTGGTCGACTGTAGCTTCCTGGGCGCTCTATAGGTGGGGGTCTATGCTCCCCCTCCACTGAGCGCCCTGACTTAGTGTGGAAGACCTGATGCTACCGGGGCAGACGGCTCCTCTGATGGCGTTTCCTTGCCTTACCTTACTTGGCTCATCTGGACTCAGCCAAATATAATTTTTACTTGTGTGTGTGTGTGTGTGTGTGTGTGTGTGTGTGTGTGTCTGCGTGTGTGTGTGTGTGTGTGTGTGTGTGTGTGTGTGTGTGTGTGTGTGCGCGCGCTTGCATATGTCTGTTAATGTTTTTAACCTGTTATGGGAATCTGGGGTCATTTTGTAAAGCACTTTGTTTGAAAAGCGCTTTATAAATAAATCTGACTGATTGATTGATTGATTGAGTGGAACACTCAGGTCCTCCACACAGCCTCACAAACACAGAAGTAGAAGGCTGGATTAAAATGGGATTGAGCCGGATTATTAACGCCGACTAGGAGAACTTTTACCTATTAGTGTATTCTTGTGGGATAAAAAGTTCATTTGATACCACCCACACAGTCACAGGTAGTTCCACAGTTTTAACTGAAGCTGTGATATTCTAGCAGCCATTCATGTCGGGGCTTTCAAAATAAAAGCAGAGAAATGTTGAACGCAGTACGCTACAGAAGACAACAGATGTCAGTAACGACACAGAAGAAGAGACGGTTTTTAACACAACTGTGATAAAGGTGAGTAAACTCACAGGTCAGTCTGACAGCAGAATAACTGCAGAACTAAAATGATGCACTTGTTCTGATTAGTTTGGCCAGAAATCATAAACCTCACAAATGTTCTGTTAACTGAACATGATGAATAATTCCCCGTGAGAACTAAATTATGTTTTTGGCTCTAAGCATTAGTGATGTAAAGTTGCATTAATCCCGTTATTTATGTCGAAGGAGACACTTTGGCTAATTAGTAGGAATATCATTCAGCAAAAAAGCATTTTCCTGTGGAAGCTTTAGCTTATTTCTTACATAAAAACCTGCTCGTTTCTGTTATCAGAACACACCACACACACCTGAGGGGCTGGTGCGGATGTAAGCCACCTTGGTCTTGGCCCCGAGCATGTGTTTGTCCTCCACCAACAGGGTGATGGCTTTAACAAAGATGGCGTACTGCGTCCACGGTTTGAGTCCGGACAGCAGAACCCCGGGGTCCGACTCCTTGTCGGGCCTCAGCTCCACATCCACCATGTTCCAACTGTTGGAGCCGCAACCATCCTGCCCCTCGAACTCGGTGATGTTCTGGAACGGCCTGGAGAAGGAAAAGGTGTGAATTAGTTAATTACTGTTAAATTAAACAAATCTACGTTTGATGCAAACAAACTCCAAGCTCTTTCAGATGTTCCTTTTTGCACATTTTAAACCAACGAAAATTCTGATCTTAGGGGTGGACAGGTTGGGTGTTGTGATGGAAAAACTCTAAGTGAAGCAGAAACGTTGACTTTAGCATTAAAACCAGACTGTCCACCACATTAACTCAGCATATTAGAATAAAAACATTCTTTTTTCTGCAGATTTTCAACAATTTTAGTTTTTGCAACCACCCTGAAGAGCTGGCCACTTCTCTCACATAAATGCTTAGCAGCTGTAACTGGAGCATCAACAGCTTAAACAAAAAGGGGAAGTTGCTCTAGAGAAAGGAAGCAGCAGACCCTCCCAGTCAACACTCACGCCTCCTTGTAGTAGACGATAAAACTGATGAGGTCTCTGTAGTCGGGCGGCCGGTAGCGCTCCCAGGTCAGCTTGATCCTTGTGCTGCTGGTGCTGTTGGAGGTAAACTGCAGGATGGTGCTCTCACCTGTGGGGTGGCAGGAAGTCAGAATGAAATGCATCCAAGTGTTTCAATGTGTGTGATCCTTATTGTCTGGTTAGTAGAAGGTCTGATAAAGTAAACAATAAAACTTGGTTGGGAGGGAGAATCGGCTCAGAGGAGGTGTGGCTGTGTAGCAGCTCCTTTACTAAAGGAGCTGCTGGACGTGGCAATTTGAATGTTTGTGGTCTTTGGCGCAAAGATCCTTCTGATTCTTACAGCTGGCTCTGTCGCCGTTGTTACGAAAGTCTGCCTCGTCAAAGCGGCCCCGGATGCCCGTCTTGTCCCACATCTTGCGGATCTCAGACGAGCAGAGTTTCGGGTTGGCTCTGAAGAACAGCCGTCCATTCTTTATGGTCAGGTTGTGCTGCTTCCAGTCCCAAAGGTACTGGAGCTGCTGGTTGTCAAACGCTGAGAAGGCATACATTCTGGAAGGACGAACGACAAAGAAAATGAGCCGGCGATACAGAGCAGCAATTTAGACAGTTACTCTCTTACAGGATCTTCATATTTAGCTGGAGCTTCACTAATGGAGCCAAACCACAGAGCTTTCTGACTGAACAACAACCACCTGGTAAATCTGGTCAACGTGAAGCTGTTGGATAACACCCAGACATAAAAATGACAGTAATGTGGACCTTGGGACAGTTAGACTCCCATAAAGTAAAAGACAAAAAGCTGAAGGAGGGAGTGAATGCTTCAGCCTGACCCTGATAGCTGGATATCAGCCAACAGGAGATTTCTCAATTAGAAATAAAATTCCCAGGAAGAGTTTCTTCTTCTGCAGAGTGATGATGGAGGAGTCTGGACAACAGTTTACAAACTGTAGCAGATCTAACACTAAAACGGCTGATATGGCACAAAGCCTTTGGCTTCTTTTCAGTTTGCTCAAGGACACAGAGGCAACAACAACATTAAAGCTTTGAATTCAGTTATTCTCAGACATGCTAGCTGTTGCTTACACTCATAGCCTTTAATAAAAGTACCTGGGTACGTGGCTCAGTTACTGTTTTATACCTGCTTCCAAAATAAGAAATGTTTAAGATGTGGTCCACTAGTTAAATGATTACATTTCCTGTGGTCTCCAGTAGGAACAAATGCCTTGTAAGTCATTCTTGGGGGTAAAAATATATACACCAGTGCATTTACAGGAACTAGTAGTGACCCACCTCACGGCTGAGCTTCAGACGGCAGATTCTAGAGTACTTTTTCCTGATATTTGAACATCTTGCCTTGGATTGGATAACAGCAATGCTACTTTACCACTGATTCCTACATTGATGTTTTATCTCCACAAATAACACAAGCCCGGAGGAGTTCTGCTGTGTGGTGAAGTAGCTAATGCTAAGGATTAGCTTCTTCTAGTCAAGACGTTCTCTGCTGTTTTCTGGCCGTGAAACCAACAGCAGCCTTCCCCGACACGAGTCAAGATGGGTGAGCCTGTGAATGTTAAGTAACAGTGTGACGCAGATCTGTCAGGATTTTCCAATCCTAGAGTGTCACCGTCTATTTTCTATCATTTTCTATTCTGCCTCTTATCCAAGACCCTCTTGAAAATGAGGATTTTAATCTGAATGGAACCTTCCTGGTTAAATAAATAATAAATAAAATAATAATCTAATGCAGGAGAAAGGTGTAGGAGACTATTTTCATGTTCAGCCTGCATGAAAAACTCAGAGTGACCGATTATAATCATAAATAATCATTTAAAAATGGATTTTCAGTGTTCCACACCTTTAACATTTTTGTACCTGTGTGATAGATGAGTCATTCCCAGCAGACACTGAGAGTCAACTGATGGCAAGATTTTACCACAACAGATATAACTTCATTGTTTTCCAAAGTGACACAAACGAATATGCATTTGTTTAAGGAACAATGAGACTTTAGTAAAACCAGGCTCTGGTCCTAACTAGGTTTAATAAGTTTATGTTTATATTTATTTATTTGGCAGATACTTTTATCCAAAGCGACTTACAATTTATAACCTATAGGACATGTTGTGATCCGTGGGGTAAACCGGAGTACCCGGAGGAAACCCACGCACACATGGGGAGAACACGAAACTCCACGCAGAAAGGCCGCAGCCGAGTTTCGAACCCGCAACCTTCGTGCTGCGAGGCAACAGTGCTAACCACTGCGCCACCATGCAGCCCCAACATAAGTACAACATAAGTATAAATGTTTAACAAGACTTTAGTTTAACAAGACTTTAGTTTTCTCACATAAAGCCATCTTACCCTCCCAAATTACATCAACCCTTCAAATGACGGCAGCCATGAAAAGTCAAATATGAGTTTCACCTATGTTTCATTTGACCATCAGGCTGTAGAAACATGACCAGGTGCTGCAGTCGGTTATTGTTGGCATAAATTAGGGATGCACCGATACCGATACTGGCGCCGATACCAATACCAGTATCGGTAAAAGTTAACCGATACCAGGATCCGATACCAATGCAGTTGCTTGAAAATGGCTTCACTGTAACTTGTCATTTCTGTTCACCTAATATTCTAGTTTTGTGATGATTTACATTCATATATTTTACTTTTTATCTACCTCACATTCTTTTCCTGTTGAAAGCAGAGAAGAAAATAAAATCTGTATTCCAAATCATTGCATTTTTTTGTGTGGTGGAAGTATCGGTAATCGGCATCGACAAGTACCCAGATCCAAGTATCGGTATCGTATCGGTTTGAAAAAAAAAGAGGTATCGGTGCATCCCTAGTATAAATGTTTTCACAGACCAGAAATGTTAGTCAGGAGTGAATGAACTGCGTTGTATGATCTCACTCTTCAGAAAGATTCTCTCCATCGATGTATCTGAGGCTGCGGAGGAACGCCAGCGAACTCAAGGTGTGGGAATGGGCGATCCGGACAAAACCGGTCACCCTCTGGATCAAACCAGTGAAACTCTCCAGCTCTGCCACAATGTTATCTAAAACACACACAGTGAAAGTGAAACACTGAGAGAGATACTTTAAAAGGAAAACGCTTCTCACGAAGCCAAAAACTTCCATCGAGGTAAGAAGAGGAAATCTTTCCAGGTTCAGACATTCCTAGCCGACTTTCCCACACTAGAAAGTCAGCTGCTTTAGACTTTCTGAGCCCTTTCAAACAGCATGTCACAAGTTTTCACATTGCTCCACGCGCTGTCCCTGAAGTAGAAAAGTGGTGCTGATGTGAGACGCTGCAGAACTTACGGCCTCTGCGGATGTTGATTTGCAGATCTCCTTTGATAACCGTGCAGCCTTTGAGAGACTGAGCAGCATCCATGGAGTCGATGTTCTTCCCCTCACAAACTTTATCGCACAGACCATCACAGGCTTTACACATCATGCTGGAGAAAGAGAGTGTGTTTTATTAGCAGATTAGCTGTCATTTTATTTGTTCTCAAGCTAGTTTTCGGTAAGACTTCACATTAGCATCCACGCTGAGGTGAATTAGCTTAACTGTTCTAATCACCTGATGAAATAAACAGAAATGACGTATTAGAATGGCTGCCCTGTGAAAACCTATGGGAGCACGTGACCGCTTCAGAAAGAACTTCTTCTCACCTGTTGGCTGCAGATCGCGTGTACCCAGATGGACATTCAGACAAGCATTCCCCTCCATGAATCACAAAAGTATCAAAGTCCGGGACGTGGACTTGGGAGCAAACTTCCTTAATGATGCAACGCCAGCCTTCAAATTTGTATGTGCCTGGAGGGCAGTCAGCCACACAGCGCCCTTCGTAGAAGTAGTGCACGCATGCGGCACAGGCTGCGTCGCTGCCTGGACGCGAGCAGCTGCCCAGACACTGGGGGTGGCAGCAGTCACCCTCTGCTGTGCAAGCTCTCCGTCCACACTTCTCTGGGCACTCTGTTGGGAAAACAAAGATGAGGAATTCAATAGATACGAAAACCTTTTTCAATTCATTTAAATGAAAATGAAATGTGGAATTGAAGAAGGCTTTAATTCTGAAGTACATTTTAACGGACTATTACTGCTTGTTTATAAATTCTAGTCAACAACCCACTTTATTTTGAAAGTGTCTCAGGATTTAGAGCCAGTCATCGGAGGCTTGTAGAATTGATCCCGGCTCCCAGCAGAGAATTCTGCTGCTGTGTCCTTGAGCAAGACTCTTAACCCACCTTGCCTGCTGGTCGAAGGGACCGCTGGCGCCTGTGTTTGGCAGCCTGACCTCTGTCAGATCGCCCCAGGGCAGCTGTGGCTACACTGTAGCTCATCATCATCAGTAGGGCTGCTCGATTATGGCAAAAATAATAATCACGATTATGGTGACTGAAATTGAGATCACGATTATTTAGGACGATTTTTCAACTTATGTTGATTTTATTTGTTTTTATTCAGTCATAAAACTGCTCAGGGCACAATCAGGACAAAAATAAGAAACAAGATGATCACTAAAAGAACTCCTGATTCCCAGGATAAAAAGACCAATATACTTATAGCTCATAGTTTATGACCCAAGGGCTATAGACCTTGAGTCTAACCAGTACAGACCCAAATACCAATATCTTGCAAATACTGACAGCAAGAATTATACAGTGGCATTTATAACAAATAAATGCAAATAAATTGATGTTCACAAAATGTTACATAACATTTATTGAGTCGTGTCAAGGTGCTGTAGCACCGTGTCCTCAGAGAGATTAGTTATCAGCGTGAGGAACTTATTTCTAGCTTATTTATAAACTATTTATTTACAGGCCCATCAGTTAATGTAATAATTGTCCCGACCACAGCTGCACCCCCCACCCCCCCACCCCGGTCTCACAGCAATCGGGCAAGCTGCACGTGTTTAGCACGCCGCACGCGCACATTTAGCTGTTTTTAGCTGCTCAGGAGACCGCATGTGCGGTGTGTGTGTCACTCACTCTGGTTAATCCAACAAGGAGCCGGCTCCGAGAGCTGTCTTTAGCGACCGACACATCACTGCATCATTCCCTTTCCTAATGTTGTGAAGAACGGTCCGGAGCGCAGGCGGAGTGTTTAGCTAACCTGCAGGAAATGTCGACGACAGTTATCCAGAAAGTAGCTAAGGGTTACCAGAAATGTTTCTGAGATGTTCGCTAGGTACTTTTAGGATTAAAAAGTCAAGAAGGGGGTCTGAAAAGCTGCTAGAAATAGCGTCAAAGTCGCTAAGTTGGCAACACTGTGGAGGAGCGCTTCATTTGCAACTTAGGGCAGCGCAAGCGGGAGGAGCAAATAATCGGCTTGTTATGTTTTTTATAATCGTTCAAAACTCAGATCGTAATCGTGATTAAAATTCGATTAATTGAGCAGCCCTAATCATCAGCGTGTGAATGTGTGTGTGAACGGGTGAGTGATTCACTGTGAGGTAAAGCACTTTGGAGTCCTCCGACTCTGAAAGGTGCTACACAAGTGCGGGTCATTTATCATCAAGAGAGGAAATTGAACAAACCCATGTGATCACTTTGGTGTCGTAGAAAACATATTAACACAGAGGACTAATATTTGGACACAGCTGGACCTCGCTGGACACTTAAAACAGAGTGGAGGAGAAAGATGAAAGTACAGCAAATACGGTCCGCAGCCTGAACCAACCTCTTGCATGAGACTACTGCCTTTGGGCCCCAACAAATGATTTGCATTCGCTGGAGAACGACTGCCGGTGCAAACACAAACACATGCTCACCAGCCCACAAAGGAAAACACAGAGAGCCTCTCACAAGGAGGGCGAGCCGGATGCTACGAATCAAAACAAAACAATTCATGTTTGGTTCTTCTAAAAAATGTAAATAGTGCAAGCAAAAGCTGCGGCCAGCACACAACCAAATACAGGCGTTAGCAAACATGTAAGCTCTGCGTGCACCTTCTAGAAAAGCCTTTAACTCCAGGTTTTACAACATGGTCTGGTGGCTGTGGCATACCTCTAAACAGAAACATACTGTAAAGAATAGCAGGAAATCTGACTGGGAGCTCCAAAATAAAAAGAAAACCCCTGTGCTGACAGGTGTATAATATAAGACCACACCTCTCATTGGTCTTCCAGTGGCGGGGACGTTTAAATGAGTCATGATGGAATTACAAGGTAACAAAAGCTTGTTTTAACAACTGACACGCACCTAACCCATCACCACACAGGTGAGCTTATCAGCCAGCCGTACCGTCGGCTGGGGTTGGCGTGACGGGGATAAAAAATAAAAAGGTCCTCAAATGTGTCTGAATCAGACACAAACTCTAAGCTAAAGCAAAGGGCTGTATTTACAGCGTGAAACCTTTTTTCAGATGATGTGAGACAAACAACTGGATGAAATAACAGATTTTTTATGTATTTGAGTTTAGACATCAACAAGTAAAATCATTAAAGTGAAGTTTGGTTAAAAGGACGCTGGGCGACTGACTGCCTCCTCCACCTGAGAGACGGCCGGACAAACTAAAACATCAGCTCTTGAGATTTCAGGAAATGCATTTACAAACAACCTCTAGCACAACGGATGAAAGACGGTTAATGACGCCAACACCACATATAAAACACAATAATGATGTCGATTTAATAAAACAATCAGGTGCATTTTGTTTGAACCCGTCTTTATGTGAATCCGTTTCTGACTTTCACACTCCATCATTTGGTTATTGAATTGTTTAAAAAAGCAGAAATGAATATGAGTTTCCAGAATTGAGTGTTTGATTTTAAACTTGTAACCAGGAGATGACCCTCTGGTCTGCCTCCTGAGAAAGGCCAATCAGAAGCCTCCTGCTGCATGGTCCCAGCAGCAGCAGCCTGTTTGTGCTCAGCAGGAGAACGCCAGTGCTGCATTTCACTGGCACAGAATGTTCTCTCCCTGATACGAGCCCCCTCCAAGCCCCAGACCTCGTCACATCTTCAGACCTCCTCAGGTTGGGAACAGAAAGGTGTAATTTTGCGATGTGACAACGTTAAGCCTCAGGCCCGTATGGAGCTGTGTGAAAGGAGGGAATTTCTGTGTGAAGCTTGGTTCAGGCTGGAGCTGCTGGTCTGCCGCCTCCTAAATACAACCCTGACTGATGGATAAGGTTGGACTGAGGTGGAGGGGTCAGCCTTGCATATTAGCATTCTTCTGGATGTCTGCAAAATAATGGATCCCAGCTTTTATTTGCCTTACAATATGAGTTTGCTGCAGTTCCAACAAACAGTGTGTGTGTGTGTGTGTGTGTGTGTGTGAGCACAGCACACAGGACAAGAATGTTAAATGCTCTCTGATCAATCAGCCACTAATGGTAATTAACATATATGTGTCCTAATTCATCTGACCAAGGATCAATGAAAAGATGAGAAGAGAATGTTTTTTCAGAAGTGCGCTGCTTCGTTTAACCTAATGAAGTCTGTTGGAAAGCACCCCCAATCCATAAAGTATAATGATTACATTTTACACATCGACCATCTCTAGTATCACTACAAACGTGTGTGTGAACAGTTATCAGGAGTTAAACTGACAATGAGCTCATTTCTGTCACATGTCCTGTGATCAGTGCATCTCTGCCTACAGCTCATCCAGAAAGTATCCACAGGGCACCCCCCTTTCTACATTTTGTTACGTCACTCCCATATTCCAAAGTCGATTAAATCCTTTTTTCCCCTTAAAATTCTTCACAAAACACCCAAAAATGACAACATAAGACGATTTTGGAGATCTTTGAACTGCTAAATCACCGAACAGACTGAGCTCCAAATTCCTCGACACGTTTCTGCTGCTTAACTGGAGTAAGGGTTTAAAAGATGAGCTTCAACCTACACCATATCTGTAAGTAGATGGTGTTGTTGCAAAGACACAGTAAAATAGTTCTGTATTTCTATTGTGCGTAGGATTCTTTTCTCTCTTCACCAAAATGAAATGGTAAAAATGACCCAAATAAACCTTCATTTCAACAGGAAATCACCCAAACTTCTTGGATTCTCCTCTGGTGGTGACCTTAGTGATCCATAGATGGCCTACAGCCCCTTTAGTGTCTCTACTAGATGTCAAACATCTGACTGGTGAGTAAAACTGAAAGGTTAAGTGAAGGAGGACTGCAGACGCCATGGGTGTGGTAATCAGGTTAAGTCTAGACTAGGAGCTGGTAATCTAAACTGTGGAAAGTTACCAGACACAACAGATTGTGCTCATGAAGGCTGCGCTGCTCTCGACCTTATTCTGATCATGTCAGCATTTCCATGATTCAGCAACTGGAATGCACCTTTTATTAATGCAGAATGAATAACAAAAAGGTAAAAGTGACAGCACCACATAAGTAAAGCAGATCACGTCATTATTCTTGTGTTTGAAGTCATTGCTGCTGATTCTAATAAGAGAGAAATGGGCAATTTAGAGCCAGTTTTTATTAAAATGCTACATATTTAAAACTCTATTTTTGTGTTTTTCTAAGATAAAAACATGAAGTATCCAATTGTTGTAAAATCCTTCAAATGTAAACATACTTTTAACTTCTGTGCTCCTTTTTTATTTGGCATGTTTGGTACCTTTTGTGCTAATGATGACAACCCCACTTAGCTCGACCGCTTCTATTTACACAACGTTAGAACTTTTTCTGGTGAGCTGTAATTATTGAATTATCGTTGCAAAGCGCTGCTTTTGTTTGTACTTTAGCTAGAACGCAGGAAAAAGTCCTCACAACTTTCTTACATAATAGCAAGAAGGCAGTCTCCTAAAGACACACGCACGCACGTACGCACGCGCGCGCACACACACACACACACACACACACACACACACACACACACACACACACACACACACACACACACACACACACACACACACACACACACACACACACACACACACACACACACACACACACACACACACACACACACACACACACACACACACACACACAATGCTTCCCTCATC